TCAGAGTGGGTATCTCATTTCCCGGTTAGTAATTTACCATACCCACCCCACCCCACCCCACTCCCCATATAGAAAACAATACGACATAGGGCTTATCTTATTTATAATATAGGCCACACACGTGTGTTTGAAACTAAATAGAAGCATTTTCATCATGGTTTTTATTTTTTACAAACATATTATTTCACCATCTATACACATTGAGGCCCTTCTTTTAGGTTAAAATGATCTATCTTAAATTTGTCTTTCTTAAATTTGGGACTATTATGTGTTTAAATAACTTAAAAGGATAAAACTAAAAAAGCCCTGAAAAATGCGCGCCAAGCGCGCAAAATATTTTTGTTTTTAATTCTAATTTTGTCGAAATTGATGAAAACTCCCTAAAATGTGCAATTTATAGAGGGAATTGGCCTACCGTAACGAGAAATGCGCGCAAAGGATTTGAGAATTTTAGGCACTTTCAGAGGATGCATTTGTCAAGGGGTGGAGAAAGATTTTCGAAAGATGGATATTTTACCCTTGTCCTCTTGTTTTTAATTCTAATTTCAAAAATTTGAGAATTTTAAGCACTTTCAGAGGATGCATTTGTCAAGGGGTGGAGAAAGATTTTCCAAAGATGGATATTTTTTTTTAAAATTCTAATTTCGTTGGAATTGATCAAAACTACCTAAAATGTGCAATTTTTAGAGGAAATTGGCCATGTTAACAAGAAATGCGCGCGAAATTTGAGGTTTTTAGGCACTTTCAGGGGATGAAAGGGCATTTATAGAGGGGTGGGGAAGATTTTTCAAAGATAGATATTTTCTCCTTGTCCCCCAGTGGTTACGCCATCGGGCAGCAAAAATCAAAGGAGTTATGACAGTTTTTGAAGTGGAGAAGGGGTTGCATGGGTGTTGTGAGTCTGGTCATTATGATATCTTCCTTTTTATTCTTTTTCTCTTCTCTTTTTCTTTCCTTTTCTTTTCCTCTTCTTTCTCGTTCCCTCCCTCTCTCCTCTTATTACCCAGCTCGGTATGACGGCTTGGTCAGCCCGGTAAAAACCGTCAGGGGAGGGGCAGTTTTCCCCCTGCCCCCTCCCCCCCGCGCCTGTTACGACACTGGCTAACACGCCAATCATCCCCCCCCCCCAATGAAAATATTTTTCTACGCCACTGCATAGACCAAACCAATGGTAATAAAGGATAACAAGATTAAATGAAATAATAGTAATAATAATATATAGGTTTTTAATATAGCACCCTATAATATACTCTCAGAACACTATTACACACAAAAAATGTAATAAATATACAAAAAAGACAAATTAATAATAAAAAAAATGCTTTTAATAGGCGGCACATAAAATATAGTCAAGGCGGTTGCCTCATTAATAAATATTGCAAGGAGATAAAGTTGAGAGTGCAAGAACTGTGGACATTTGACTTATTCATTACAAACTGCATCAGTTGCCGGTATCATCTTGACAACTCCGTAATTATAATGGGTCCCACATACAGACAGAAAGACTGATTATTCTTATAGCTCTGTAATTTATTTATTTTTTCCATAATGGCTGAAACTTATTTTTATGACATTACATGAGTTAAGGGGAGGGGAGGGGGTAACAGAAAAGAGTATGTTTTGTACTCTTTTGAAAATGTTGATAATTATGGATGACCCCTAAACCCTTTACATGTATAACTATTTTTCCAGGAAAATGCAGAAGAATGCATACAATGTAATAAAATGCTTTAACATAAGACGGTAAAACAAAGGAGGAATATGTAACAAAAAAAATAAATAAATAAAAATAAATAAATAAATAAAAGCTATTGGAAATACTGTAACATCAGCATAAGTAGTCACCAATTACTTCCAGTGTTGTAGCTGGTGTGCATTATGCTATGAATAAAAGCAGTGTGTAAAGAATCACTGCAGACAAGACAAGTCAGAGAGATACAGTACTACCAAGTAATTATACAGGCCACTTCGCAAGAAACATCATTCATTCAAGAAACCACACTTGTAAATTATGTAATACTAGCCTTCAGTCTGAAGTAAATTTACAACAGACAAATATGTGCGTGTTATTGCAGAAGAGCGTCCACAAGATGCTTACCAAGAACACAATGTTCTTTTACTTCAAAGCTTAGAAGTAACAATGTATTTGTCCGGAAATGATACTTTCGTTGTCTCTGAAAATTGGAGGTCATAATCTAGGCTGTATTCAGTTATGACCTCTGCAGTACAGTAAGTGTATGCACACGGGGATATTCTAAGGTTGTGTTTATACAACACACTAAACATGCACACGGTGTTACGACCATGAACATATTTCACTGCCCAAGATGAGCCTAGGCTCCAAACTTAGCCGTTTATACAACACGCCATTACGAGTGTTACACACCGAAAGTATCATATGGCACTATGTACTACTTTAGCACACAATGTAATGTCACACCAACAATGCAATCCTACCTCTGCTGAATTTGTGCGGTTTGTTTTTGAAGAGTTGATTTTTTACTGTTGATTGTGTTAATATTCCCTCCTGTAATCCTATTTTGTTGTTACTTCACCGATCATTTTATTTACCATTGCTAACGTTTGAGTACCATCAGAATCAGAGAAGAGAATTTCAGATGCTTATCGGACAGACGAACGGATGGGGAATACCATACTCTTGCAGCAAGAACCAGACAAAAACGACAATTTGCGCTTGTTTTATCTATCCATCTATCTTTAATAATAATTATTTATTCGGATATACACTTTTATATCAGAGGCACTCAGTTGCTTGGCGGTGCATCCATAACAAAGAAAATTAACAAAAAGGCCTTAAAAGTAAGGTCTATAACAGAAATATACAAATAAAAATTAAAATTACAGTACTAAAAGAAATTCAAGATCAATAAAACCAACAAAAAGATAAAATACAAGAAAATCAATCAAATTCTATTATGTAACATTTCAAATGTACTGCGATACCAGAAAGCATTGTTGATAATTGTTATTTTACCAACCTGGCCAAATAAACTCTTATCTTGTTAGCGACTTATCGAGTTGAGTTAATTACCGCTCGCTGCAGCCTGACGAAAACAAGTAGCCATTGCCTGGGTCACCGATCAAATATGGCGATTCCATAGCCTCTTTTCCAGATGATTTTGTAATCACACAGAATCCAAACTCGTTTATACAACACTCTTAAGTTTGCTGTGCTGATAAGGGGTGTACTAATGGCGTGTTGTATAAACAGGCCCTGAGTGGGCATTCCTTACATTCCTTTTATATGTGGAAGTAGCACATTTTACTCCTGACGCTTTTTAGAAGTAAATCATCTGTAGAAACTTAGAAGTAACTTAAGATTGAAGCTGTAATCATATTTGGTTTTTTTAAAAAATATTTTTTCTACAGCTAGTGAATCGTAATCAAATTAGAACTTTTGAAGTTGAAGGACCCAATTATATTTGATGGTTTACAGGATGGCATGGCATTAAAGATCAAAGGCCATGAACTTAGTTACGCATGACCGATTCACCTGTGGTCAGGTGTGTCAGCAATCGGCGGGCAACATCCAGCTTAGCTTTAGTAACTTTGATGCTACAGTAGTAGTTTCCCAAGCAATGCTTCACCCTTCTGCAACACCTGAGTCAATATCATCATCAGGGTCAATATCAGGCGGAGGCCGTACCTCTTGATCCTCATCATATTGTAAGGTCATGTCAATAGTGAGGAGCAGCTCCTCAATAGATTCCTCGTTGTTGTAGTTCAGAGGAGTGAACTTCACCAGTGAGTAGTCATCAATCTAAAAAGAATATTGCAAATATATATTTTTGATTTGATTGTTTTGCACTTTTGTTTGTGATGGCTGAAATTTGAATAAATATAAAAGTAAAAAATAAATAATGTGACCTGGTTAGGAACGCATCAGAGCAGCACCTATCAATTGGTCGTTACATCGGGAGACAATCACCTATTCTTTTTGGAATACAGTTCTTTTCATGTAATTATGCACATGGAACCAGTTGTAGTCCGACGCCATGATGAGGTTGTTGGATCGAAAATTAAAATTTGCCTATCCCAATAACGTTATTTTAATTGCCAATCCCTAATATTGTGGTATAAATGCACAATTTGGGCAATAATAAGCCATAAAAAGTCTCCCCATGAACACTACCAGGAATTTTTATACCAGGACCCTGACCGAGGCTCTAGTAAGCCCTTTGGTTTGGTCCCGTCGGACCGCCTGCCTGCAAATTTCTGGAGCCACCGCTGCATGGAACCAAAAGCCTAACTTCCCATCCAAAGGACAAGGTAATGCAAATAAAACGTCTTATTCTTTGTCCACACTATCAAATTTGATGCGATGATGGTGTCATGCTACACCAAATATGGGCATTTGAAAGTTATTTGTCAAATAATATTTTATAGTGTGGATAAAAGCTTTACCTCAAGCTCAAGGACTCAAGCAAGAACTACATTGACAGGTCTCGAACTTGAGTGCTGTCCAATTCTTAAGCTTTGTGCCATCTCACCCTCAATGGCAGAAGCGTAAGCAGATGTTTCTTTGAGGCCAACTCAGACAACATAATATGACACAGCCCAATGCGATTTGTTGTCACGTTGGGTCTGTGCGAGTTAAACACCCCGGGAGACTGTCATGACATAGGCTATTAAATGTTTAATATTCTTGCGAAAACCTATGCTCCCGATGATAAATCACGTAGGACTTTGTAGAACGACATTGCGAGAGTTGTTAATTAGGCACATGTGTCTGTTAAACAAAACTACACTCTACTGAGATTAAATTTCAACTGAAAGACAGTAACTTACTTAAATACTAAGGAATTTAAATATGGAATTACTAGTATTTACTCTGAAAGCTTATTTTCTCAGAATGGAAAGTGTATCTTTTGTGATAATGAAAATAAAAAATAATTCACCTACCAGTGTAGCAATTGCTTCATTCAACTTCTGAAACTTCTTGCTGTTTGTTTTGAGATCGGCTACCAGCGAATTGGTGTCTGGATCAAGATATCTAAAGTAATGAGGAACATCCTATACAATAAATACTTCTACAATCTACATTACTACCATAGCAACTACTATCATCATAATCATGTTGATGTTTCCTTATCTTTTCTTTCTCATGTTACCTTATCTTTCTTTCCTTGTTCTTTCTCATGTGACCTTTTCTTTCATTTTTCTTTCTTATGCTTCCTTTTCTATTCCTTTTCATTTACATATAAATAGTTTATGTACATAAATAAACCACATAAATCATGATGATGAGCTGCAGAAACAGTATGCAATGAATAAAACATTATATAGTACTACAGTAACTTACTTTAAAAAGTTTACAAGGGATAAAAATTAAAACAACAGTAGTAGGTCTAGTGCGGTAATAATAACAACAATAGTAGTAATAGCCTAAGCCTTAATGCACATGCTCTTTTTAAATAAGATTTACAGAATTCATCAAATAGGCCTATTCTGTGTGCTATAATTACTAAATTTCCAGAAAACATAGGTATGATGTCAGTACAGTCCCCACCTGATATAAGAAATAAACCAACATCTTCATTTGACCAAAAACAGATTCCATAACTCTTTAAGTCCTGAGTCATGAAGCTGTCTACGCAAATGTACTGTACTAACGTCATCTGAATAATGGATTCTCACATGCGTTGCTTTTGTAGTGTGACACATCCTCGTCCAATATTTTGTAGACTCGTGTTATTGCAAAATTATTTTTTATGATATTTTAATGGACATAAAATATAAACTCAAAATACGCCAGTAATTCTAAGACATTTAAAAGAATGGTACTATGATATATTTCTTCCATAGCTGTGCACACGTCTGGAAGTTAAATCAGCACAAACATTTTGTCCTTACTCTATGATCATCGTCACCACCAATGTCATTCATCACCATCATTACCATAATTATTGTCATCATCATCATTATCATCATCATCATCCCTAGCCATCATCCCAGATTTTTCCTTAGATACTGTCATGCAAAAAACTTCAAATCAAGACTAATATTGTTGCTTACTTTTCAACTGTATTTTGGTCTTCGGCACTAAGCAAGTCCATCTTAGTCATTATGTTGACATGTGGTATTTCAAGATTCACCATTGTTGACAGAGCTGACATTGTTCCTTTATCATAAATGAAATGCAAATAATACTATGATTGGATTATCATCATTGTTGCCGTTCATCCAGGTAAGTATTCACAAAGTAGACGTTTGTATTTGTGAAGCTTTAATTTAAAAATTTGATACCTTAAAGATGTACTCTAAGTTATGAGGTAAAAAAAATTGGAATTTTAATTCCACATCTGAATTACTTCATAGGTTATTTACTTAAAATTAAAAATTTGAATTTAAAAGAAACTCTCCCGCCAATTTTTGGACACTTAACTAATAACTTTCCTATATTCTTTTGCATAGGCCTAAAATTAACCAAAGATTTTTGTAGTAAAATGTCTGTAAATCAGCGGAAACTGCTTTTTTTTTTATCTGTTTTTTGTTGGAAAAAAAATTTTAGTTGATACTTTTAAGTGACCTATTCAAATGTTATTTAAATTTCTGAAGTATTTTCCTGTATTTTTGAATGGTAGTTCACCTTTAATCATTAATCAGTAGTTAATATTTTACTAGCCAAAATTCATGGGATGAACTAGAGAATTAGGATTTTGATTCACAATCAGCAATATTTCCGTGCAAGACTATGGCCTAGGCAGAAAATTAACACCGCATCAATCACTACCTACAGTTTGATTTCAAACTGACAGGATATTTTCCGTTATTAACTTGCATGTTTGAGTGTGTTTTAGCTTCTTTTTTGGAGGAAGCTCAACACTACTACTCGTTTTTCGAGCACTGCCTAGGCCTACATCCATATCGCTCACATCTGACTCCACTTTTGAAATCAAGCTTTACTAGATTGTGGTTGTTACGAATTCAGTAGACCGTGGAGCACCATACAGGTAAGTGTGTAGTGCAACTCTGACATCAAATTGGAAAAAGAAATTTGTTTTTTCGAAATCAGTAGACTGTGGAGTGCGATTTAATTTTTCATATACAGTTCAGAGTGCAACTATGACAGTGATTTGGTCTATGAATTTGTTTTATTTTTCGAAATCAGTAGACCGTAAAGCGCTAATTACTATTTCGTATACAGTTCAAAGCACCGTTTTCAGGATGAAATTAAGTGGCCTTGTTCTTATCTAAATCATAGGATTATCATTTTTAATCGGAAATGCACGATTTATTTCAGCTGGCTAAAATGCGTAAAAAGCGGAGATTTTTGACCCAAAATCATAGTGCGGTGTTTTGCTTAAATAAACGGAGTAACTCCGCCGAAATCGGAGTGGTTGGCATGTCTGCAATAAATAAGATGTGCAAGAATGTTGTACTGTACACATAAAAATATAACTACTAACCAGAGAAGAATTTAGCTGTGTCCACCATAAATTGTGAATCAATGAGGAACAAGCCACATAGTCGGAAGTCCCAGCTCTGAAGACATTCAACCAGCTGCCTCATCACAGGAATGTGCGTGTATAATTCAATCTGACCTAAAATATGATAACAAGGTATAAATGACATGGTAAACCTATGTATGTCATTCAATGTTATGTAGCTGAAGATGCGTTCCTTATGCACTTGATCCAATGACCGGGGGTAGTAATGCGAAGCGCTTGTTGGCATGAAGCGCAATATAAGTCTAACATATTATTACAGTATTATTATTATTATTATTATTGCCTAAATTGAATATTAGGCAGTGGCTATTGTTACACCAGAATTCCTAATTCTGATGTAATTGTCGTAAATTCCAGTCCAGAATATCATATTTCATTTGACAAAAACATGTGACATGCCTAAATATGGTCATGATGACATCACATCATGACCATATATAGCCACATCATGACTATATATGGGCATACAACAGTTCTCTGTCAAAGAAACTTTAAATAAATATTGACAGAGCTTAATCTAATCCATACATACATTATCATCAAATCAGAATAAGGAATTTGATGAAAGACTGGTGTAATAATAGCCACTGCATTCTGTCAACTTACCAGGACAATCAAAGATGAAGTAATCGCCATCAGTTTCTCCAATTTGCTCCTCAAGCCAATTAAAATTCTTTGCAAAATACCTTATGTTGTAAATAGAAATTACGCAATACTGGTCAGTACTCCATAGCATTATCAATTTGGTGAAAATCTTGTATTTTGTAGGCATCTTAAAGTTACAAGATGCGAGACAAAAACATTATCTAGTATATATCTGTTCAATATTCCATCAGATGCTCAATCAGAAATTTAATCTACTGTAAATTAAGGTCTAACATTCTATTTTGATAACCAATTATAGATTGTAAGTCTATGTGAATTCTGAAAAGACCAAATACTGTAAACTATGAACATGTCCATGCTATGAACTTAAAAAAACTAATACTGGTTGCAAATGAATAAAATGGTTTTCTGTTGAAAATAATGAATTAAGAAGTTAATAACTTTTGATTATTACTTTTCCAAAAAATTTTAACTTGTACTATTTAATACTTACTCCATACAAAACACCAAACCTCCATTGGGCCCAAGACTCAGTGTGGAATCTTGCATAACGTCATCCACCTCAATTAGTTCACGAATGTCTACAAAAGGTATAGAGGGACTGATGTTAATATGCTGGCATGGAAAGATGTTCGCCTGGTAATACCAGGCTCCTAGGTTCAAATTGTAGAAAATAAAAAAACTTGTATTTTCACAAGTGAAAACAAATTCCACCCTGCTGGTAATCAAAGGATTTTGTAGCCAAATGTCTGTAAATTGGTTGAAGCTGACAATTTATTTGATTCTTTTAAATGAGCTATTCAATTTTTTAAAATTTATTTTTGAGTTATTTTCCTGTATTTTGACTGATTGCTTAATAAACAAACTCCACTCTAAGCCTCAGAATGACACTTGGTTTATAGACCTTTCTATTTACTAGCTGTTTAAGTAAACCAATTACAATTTTTTTTAAATGAGAATTTAGATTATTATAGAGCTAGTTCTTTGTAAAATGGAAAAATAAAACTATATTTTAGAGAAATAAAATGGTATTGTGCACTACATTAAATGTAAACACTTACAAGATGAAAAAACACATCTCTCACAACCGTTTCAAAAAGTTGGTAATTGTCAATCCAATAAATACAGTAATGCAGATCTATCTTAATTTAGTTTAGCGATATGATTAACTACAGTACTTAGAGAAATTAGTAAAATAACTTCTTCACTTACCAGCTAATACAGGATAGCTGAAGTACTCTGCTGCTGGGTCAAGATTTATAATAAATGCTGTCCTACGACTATTCTCAAAGTGCTGCAGCATACGGCTACAATAGGTTGACTGAAAACAAAACAAATCAACATGGCACATGATAGGCTGAGAAGACTGCATCAAAAATTACTATTCTAATTTAACTGCCCTTTAAGAAATTATAATTTGCCTAATGGAATTAATAACTCAATATGGTTCAACTTTTGACAAAAACAATTTGCATAGATGGCTGTGTCAGTTATTTTGCCCATATTATCATTAACATATATGCCTACCTAGCAAATCTTATTTTTGTGGGTTGAGTATTCTGATAGCTGGCGGCAGTATATCTTTCTATTCTAACAACAATTTCAATTTTGATTTCAATTTATTCAACAAAAATCACCAGGCTGAGGAAGGTAAAAATATATAAAATACAATAAAAATTCACAATACAAATCAAAAGGAACTAAAATCCATAATACAAAAACCAAAGTGAGGAAATTAAAATGCTCTTGTTCAATTAATGATCGTATGAATATCGTTATTGTAAAAGCAATTTTTACACTGTCACAGATTCCATGGTTTACGCAATTGTGGCTCTTTATATCTTTATTACATTTCATGTATACATTATTAAATATAACAGAAACAAATGTCAAATAACGATAAACAAATAATATAAATTTATAATAATTCAATACAACAGTATAAAGTGCTCTTTACTGCTGTCTCAAACCACTGTAACATGACTCATTATAAAATGAAAAGAATGAAAAGAATGAAAAACACCAAAAGATCTAAAAAGCGGAGTAATCTGCATCAGTGTTTATGACCACTTGATTACTTACCTTTCCACTACCAGCGGGGCCCATGACAATCTGAGCATATCGAGGCATTTTATCACAATAACAGCAAATTCAGTCAATGGTGTTCAGGAAAAAAATCTATACAAAAATTACGAATCCAAAATTAAAGCATTATAATTAAAACTTTATGGTAAAAACTGAGAAATTAAGGTATCTCCGTAATGATAAAGAAGGTAAAGGTTGGCAATAGCTAGACACTCACAAATACCGAGATAGCTTACTGTACCGAATTAGGCATATTCCTAACCACTGCAATAATACATAATTTTCATCTAATGTGTCATGTATCTTCCATTGAAATCAAACATTCAGGTTAACAATGGCCAATTCGCGGCCTAACGAAGCTAATGCTGTCTCCCAGTCAGAATTCTCTAGAGACAGCGTGCACAGTAGATGCGTAGAATAATAAGTTTGTAACACAAACTGTCCGAAATTCAAAGCCTAAACTAAGCCAGGCTAAGCATAGGCGCCACAAATTACAAGGCTCTGTCTGCAGAAACACAAAGCATACAGAACGCTATACTACTACTAGGCCTAGTAGACAATTGTAATCATTGCATAGGTAAGCTTTGAAATTCATCTACATTGCTCCACAATGAGAAGGAAACAAGGAAGATGTTCATTCATTCAGGGCATACACTCCAAAGTATTTTAATTGGAGGATGATACCTCAAAAACTAGCTCAACTAGCTAGCAGATTGATTTCTAGGCCTAATTTTTGCACAGAGGATATATTCCCCACGCAGGCTTTACTTTACAATCTGGGGAAAGCTAAGGCGATTCCATTAATGGTACTTAACACTTAGGCCTAATGTATCTAGGCTAGGCCTAGGTAGGTAGGCCTATTCACAAAATAATAGACCATCAATTGTTAATAATATTAGGATTGTGTGCCTTTCTAGCTAGCCTATTAGGGCCTAGAAATCAGGTTAGGCCTAGGCTAGTCTGATAGAAATTCTTTTTGTAGGCCTAACCTAACTAGGTATGTAACAGCATGCCAACTAGCCTCTAGGCCTAGCCTGGGGGCCTCGACTAGGCCTAGATCCCTACCTGCTCTAGGCCTAGGTAGGGGCCTAGCTAGGGCTTACACTACGCTAACGTTTTACCATGCTACTACCAAAGCGTGCTATTTTAACGCAGTTTAGGTGCTAGAAGTACAAGAAAGTTTAAACCCGTCACCAATAGTAGCCTACAGTAGAGCAGGAGCAGGCGTTTTTTTTTTTGGAAGGTTGGAGAAAGTAAAGTAAGTCGCCACCCTTTACTACCACGATTCACACGAGCGTAATATGGCGATGCTTCTGTCTAGCGCCATCATCCTCTAAGATGTAAGTTTGACTAGGCTTAGGTGAACAGACAATTCTCCTGTTTCGACGTTTATTTACAGCTAGTAACTTTTATAAGATTTTTTTTTTTTTTTTGCATTTTTTTCATTTTCTGCCATTTATTTCGGCCTTTATTTTGTAATTTTTCTAGTTACTACTAATTGATTTAAATGTTCTGATGCTTTTGGGAAAAGCATTTGACAGTTTTTTTTTTATGGCAGCGTCATGTTCTTTATATTTGTTCAATTTTTCTAAAATAAACCTTAAATTGAAATCATGCCAATCATTCAATAAGGGTTGTAAAGACCTAGTATCCACACGGTAAAAACAATGTGTCATGGTACTATGTATGACAGTAGGCCTATATTAGAACAATACTGAAATTTAATTCAAACCGTGTTCATAAAATGTAACATACACAATGAGAGATATACAAACATTGAAATTTAAGAACATTGAAAGTTAGGATCGAATTGTCTGCGCTTAGACTATATTATAACAGAGAATATTTAGAGGGCACCTAGCTAAGGCGAAATTAGTGTTATCACTCGACAACCGAGCGAAGGTATCTAAGCGCTTCACATTATTACCACCGGTAGGGCGGATCCAGTATGGAGGCACGGGGGAGCACGTGCCCCACCCCGTTTTGCTCCTAAATTTGGAAAATTTCAGTGCAAATCAATGTACTACTCCGGTTGTGCAGGCCGTGGTATGTAATGCAAGTACTATCGCCAAAGAAGCCAATATTATCTTGATTTTGCAAACTGAAGAGCAGGGGTGGCGCCAGGACCTGCCCGACGGAGGGGCTAAAGGCCCCGACGGGGGGGGGGGCTAGTGGAGCGAATCGAGTCTCACTTGGCTGGGGGCCAGGGGCGCCTAGGGCCCCCGGTGGGGGTCCAGGGGGCTTCGCCCCCCTGGAAGCCACGGATATTTGATGAATTATGGCGAATTTTTATTACTTATTTGATAGGCATCGAGTTACTATGACTTCATGTAGGCTATGCTGTCTAATGTTGACATCAGCTTCCAAAACCAAAACATTTTGAATAAAGCAAGAAACAAAGAGTATGCAATGTAACCATCTAATTTATTTTCAAATCCTCATTCTTGAAAGTGAAATTCTATATTTTGGAAATTTTGCATGAAATCTGTCAACCACGTTGTCATGGTCGAGGTTGCTTCACCTATCACGATGTATTCCAACCATCATGAGGCTATCTAAATGAGCATTTGTCATAACAGAACGCAAATTATTTTTAATTAGTCTCATTGAATTATTATTCTTATTATTATTATTATTATTATTATTATTATTATTATTATTATTATTATTATTGTTATTGTTATTGTGGTTGTTGTGATGAAAAGTTAACACAAACGATAAGGTGGCTAAACGAATATCACATGTAAATATTTTTTTTTATTTGTTTGTTCCCCGACAAAATTTATCGTCTTCCCCGACGGGGGGGGCTATGCTTCCCCGGCGGGGGGGGGGGGTATAGCCCCAGCCCCCCCTCTGGCGCCACCCCTGCTGAAGATGGGTGGGGGGCTTCTTTTGGAGATGGGCTTGCACCACGAAACGTTGCTGGAAAGAAACACATACGGTGATCTAGGATAGCAACCAATGGATTCGACACATAACTACACTCTTATTATTTTAATCGCTTGAGGAACATGGATGATAGTAGATGGTCAAAAACTCTTTACAATGCGATTAAATTAGTGGAAAATAAATTAAAATGGGGATGGCTTAATAAAATAAAAGAAATTCTATATAGGCCTTAGTGTAACTGAGCCATCTAATACTTGGATGCAAAATTTAAAGATCAATACAGAAAGAACGATAACAATGAATGGCAAAAGGGAGCACAATCCAAATCTTCATCGATGCGTTATACAATGTACAAAGACAAACCAGAACTCGAACCGTATCTTCTTGATAAAGATGATTTTTAAAGAAGCAGCCTAAAAATTTAAAGCACGCTCCAACCATGGACCTATTAATAAGATCTTATTAATAGGTCCATGCTCCAACCCCTTATAAACCTTGAAGGCAGAAAACAATCACGGTCGTCGGAAAATTCGGGTATATGTAAACTTGTAATGAAAATGCTAAAAGAAAATATTATACACCTTTTATTAGAATTCAACAGATTCGATCTTTTAAGAGAAGAAACCCATCAAAACCTAAAAATAGAATTGCAATTAAATGGCTTTGAATCTTTCTGGAAATCGTTTCAAGAAGGTTCGAACGAAATGAAGATATATCTACTTTTAGATAATTTATACATTGAGAACATGACTCTGAGAAAAAAATGTGATTCCCTTGCAAAACATACTTACAAAGTGCATGGGAACTGAGATTAAATTTTTTCAAGGAAATGTCCATATTACCCCCAAAATAATGCGAATTTTAATAAAACGTACACCGTAACTCTTGATTTAAAAAAAGTGTACAGAATTTTATAAATCAGATGAACTTACATAGTTACTGTATATTTTATTTGCCTTATTGTTTTTGTTTTTCTTTCTTTTTAACATTGAAACATGAAAACAATTTCTACCGTAGGGGATACAATGTCTTTTCTACCTACAATGTTGATATTTTGACATTTAAGGGCGGGGAAAGAAGTTTTGTTCGGAGTATATCGACCCGTTCTCGGGCCGGAGTGTTTTACTCCTGTCTCTTATACACATCTAGATGTGTATAAGAGACAGCCAGTAGTACTCTACAATATAATGCATCCATTTATCAATTAACCAGCAAGGCATGCCTATACACATACAAACACTGTGGCCTATGTGATACTCTGTGTATTGCCCTAATGTCAATGAAATCAAACTTTGAACCCATTATCATATCTTACCATGAATTCAAATCTCTTTTGGTAGTGTGGTGGTCCTGTTTTACTAAAACATACTGTGTACTTTATTTCAATCATATATTGAAGAAAAAGGATGCAAAAACTTAGATTTACATTAAATAACTTGTGGCCGATTTGACTTGTAGCCGAGTTGATTTGTGGCCGAGTTGGCTGTAGCCGAACTTTTTGTGGCCGAGTTGATTTGTGGCCGAGATGACTTGTGGCCAAGTTGACTTGTGGCCGAGTTGACTTGTGGCCGAGTTGACCTGAACCCCTCCAAAATATTTTAATTGGAGGATACTTCAAAAACTAGCTCAACTAGCTAGCAGATGGATTTCTAGGCCTAAATTTTGCACAGAGGATGTATTCCCCACGCAGACCTCATTTTACACTCTGGGGTAAACTAGGGCGATTCCATTATTTTTCAAAGGAATCTTAGGTACTTAACACTCAGTGTATCTAGGTAGGTATTCACAAAATAATAGACATCAATTGTTATTAATATTATTAGGATTGTGTGCCTTCCTAGCTAGCCTACTAGCTAGCTAGGGACTAGAAATCAGGTTCGGCCTAGGCTAGCTAGGTATGAATGATAGTTTACTACTAAGGGCCTATAAAATTGTAGTACTGTACCTAGGGCCTAGATAGAGAAGTACTAGTAGTAGTAGGCCTATAGTATAGGCCTAGTAGCCTAGGCCTCTAGGGGCCTATAAAAGTAGGCCTACTACTATTACTACTAGGCCTAGCGGCTAGTAGGGCCTAGGCCCTGAACAACAGAACCCAGAGTGTGTGGGCAACTGAATCGACGAGCCTAGGCGCCAAGCATAACCCTGTGTATGTAACAGCATACCAACTAGCCTCTATGCCTAGCCTAGGGGCCTCGGCTAGGCCTAGACCCCTGTTTGAGTCTAGCTAGCTACTTACTTACTGTGCCTAGGCCTAGCTAGCTAGGGCTTACACTACGCTAACGTTTTACCATGCTACAACCTAAGCTCGCTATTTTAACGCAGTTTAAGTGCTAGAAGTACAAGTAAGTTTAAACCAATCACCAATAGCATAGAGCAGGATCAGGCGTATTTTAGCAAGGTTGGAGAAAGTAAAGCGAATCGCCACCCTTTACACCACGAGTGTAACATGGCGTGCTAGAGTTCCTGCTTTTGTCTAGCGCCATCATTCGCTAAGATGTAAGTTTGACTAGGCTTGTGTGAACGGTAAGATGAACAGACAATTCTCCTGTTTCGACGTTTAATATGACAATATACAGCAAGTAACTTTTATATAAGATTTTTTTTGCATTTTTCTGCCATTTATTTTGGCCTTTATTTTGTACTTTTTCTAGTTACTACTAATTGATTTAATGTTCTGATGCTTTTAGGAAAAAGCACATGGCAGTTTTGTTTTTTTTTGACGGCAGCATCATGTTCTTTATACAGTATTTGTTTAATTTTCCTAAAATAAACCTTCAATTGAAATCATGTCAATCATTCAACAAGGATTGTAAAGACCCAGTATCCACATGGCAGAAACAGTGTTCCATGGTGATATGTATGACAGCAAATATATTATGAACAAAATATACTGAAATTTTATTCTAAAACCGTGTTCATAAAATGTAACATACAAAATGAGAAATGATATACAAACATTGAAAGTTAGGATCAAATTGTTTCAGCTTAGACTATAAGAGAACATTTGGAGGGCACCTAGCTAATGCGAAAGTGTTAGTTAGCACTCGACAACCAAGCGAAGATATCTCTAAGCTAAAAAAGTATAATACATACTCCAAGTATTGAAATACACGCCATCGTGTTGGGATTCAATATTTCGACATTAATTATGTCATCAGGAATGAAAGAATTATCCATATTAGCAAGCTTAAATGCACTAGTACCAAAAGTAACCAATCAAAACATTACCTCTAGTAGGTGACATAGCAGTGATTTAAACAAAAGATCAAAGCATTCTTACTCTAATGATCAAAGATACCTACAAATACAAAGAAAGCTCTTTTGAAGCTCTGAACCCATTGTTAAGCAAAGGGTGTAGTCTACATATAGCGAACGCTTCTTTAAACAATAGGATACATGGCCGGCGGAACCGGGTGGGGGGAGCCCACTTTTTTT